TAAATTAAAACAAAATATAATTTTACATTAAATAAAAAAGTTTTAAACTTAATTAAAATAAAACATGTCTTAAATTAAAATAAGTAAACTGTCAAATTTGGACAGTGAAGGAATGTCAGGATTCTTGCTCAGAAAAAGGATCAACATGAAGTCAGAGCACAAAAACTTTTTTGTAACAAAATATCGATTTCTGCTGTCCCTGTATCCATACATTATTAGCAAACAAAATATCACCATACTACACAGTATCGATTTTTCCCCCCATCCCTACTATCTGATCTCTGGAGTTCAGGTGTGCTTTGTCATAGGAGCTAAAAATCTGCAGTAAAATGTTACCGTTAGATCAGCTCCCCTGTGCTTCTTGTGTCGGCTGAGGAGAGGGTTAGGCTTGCCCGCCATCCCATCCCGGTGCCTTCGACTTGATATGTGCTAAAAATAAAGATCACAGCAAACTGCATTACTTTTCCTATTGCCTTACACCATGGACACTAACTGGAGGAAACATAATGAAAAAATACAGCTATGTAATTAATTGTTTAACTTGAATAAACATGAATAAAACAACACAATTTAAAATTTAGAATATTGACCACTGAATTGATCGTGTGCTTAACAAAAAAAATCAAATCTAAATGCCAGTCTCATCTTTAGATTTTAGGTACAGAAATATATCCACTGCTACCTTACCTGTTTTAGTTGCAGTTCAGAGTTGACCCGCACATTGCAGATCTCACAGTGGAAGGTTCGTTCCTGAGTGTTGGGGTCCACCGGCCCTCCTCCCTGCTCTCCACTGGGCTTGGGGCCCAGGCGAGGATATGCCTTTATAGGGCCCAGCCCGCTCCGTGCCTCCAGGATAGTTTTGTGTTTCGTACCTGCACAGAAAGAAAGATGAATCTACACATTTCAAAAGCTAATATAATAAAATGAAATAATAAGGTGCCATGAGTCATACTGCTTCCACCTGTCTGTGTAAAATGAGACTGGACAGAATTTCTCTGTAGTTAATGTTGCAGAACAAAGACAGTGAAAAATGTCACATCATGGCAGAAAAAAAAGAAACAACCAAACTACAATCCACTGGCTTGAATAACCACATAGCACAGCACAATGAATTCTGCCTGAAGTTGTAGAGCAAAGCTTTCACCACAGGAGGGCAGCAGTCACCCATCTGTGCAGTTAGTGATCTGGAAGGTCAACTCAAAGCCTTTCTAATAATAACCTAATAATATAAGTGATTCATGATGTTTGACTCAGTGGAGCACGTAGGATAAGGCCAAATAGTATGTACTGTACAATATTACCATTATCCATAATCCACATCTGGCATTATCAATGAAAACGTGAATCACAGAGCCTTTAATAGAACATTAAAAAATACTGACAATAAATGTCAGTGTTTGGAAATTTAGGAGCACATTTTTATGAGATGCAGGCCTGGTCTGGTCTTTAAATGGCTCTTCAATCAGGCATTTGTTATGCTGTAAGAGCACGGCACCCTGCTTTGTGCCGTTGGAAGAGATCAGTATTATTCCAAACATTAACGCTGCTGAGCAAAGAAACAGGGCAGGTTACAGAGCAGATTGTAGCACGAGACATATATTACTGAAGCTCCTGGAGCCGTTTCTCGGAAATGAAGCCATTTGACATAAAAACAGATTAGCCCCTTTAGATGTTTGTTCGACAGAGCCCATTTGGCACGACGTTATCTACTCAGTCATGAGTCAAAAAATGAAAATAAATAAATAAAAACCTAATTTCCCATTAACAATATTTTTTTCATTTGGACAAGTCCTTGACTAGCTGCAGCTGCAAAAATGACATCATAGAGAAATATGTTTTTGCATACTGCATATTATTGTGTGTGCTAAAATAGTCTCTCATTAAATAATCACGCATTTTGTAGTTGGATGAAACCTCCCGCTCCATTTTACTGCAATGCTCCTCTACACTGAAAAACAGCATTCCACTGTCTTTGGCTCTGACTTTGAAATACTAATTTGCCCCACTCCCTAAATTCCCTTTGAACAGTGTTAAGGTTACAGAAGTTGGACAAGTCATCTGGGCGGGGTGGAAGTGGGGAGCATGGAGGCTGTGGGCTTCAGTGGGGAGAAAGGTTTGCTTGTGGCCAAAAATGTGCTCTTGGGTGCCTGTTTTTGGTTTGTTCTATTTTGGTCTGGCAATGGCTGCCCCAGTGGATTTTTTTTTTTTGTCTTTGCAAAGTCGACTCAGGGTGTAAACCAAACAAAAGGGGACAACATTGTTGCAGGAATGTTACACGAAGTAACATGACTTACAAATCTTTATTGCTGTTTTCATGGTCTTGGGCAGTTCGTGCCACGCACACTGTTCATGTCTGGGTGTCTGTGTGACATATGCTTCCATTTTTGAACCCTGCTAATACACACAGCTCTGATTTTTAGAATGAGTGAACTTGATTGTTTCCAGATGGCTTTCCTCGTGCAGTTTTAGCTATTTCAACTTTTAGTCATTCAGGGTTTAAACTCTGGAGCTCACTGGGTGCCAGCAGGCTTTGACCCAGGATCATGTTTAAGCTGTCTATGATCTTTTTTAATACTATAAACACAGTAAATGTGCAAATGTTTTCTTGGAGACAGATACAACACAAAAATACTCTTACTGTAATTACAAAAAAATACTGTTTTTGGGAAATTGATAAACTAATGATCAGAGGGTCAAAAAAATATGGTTTATTTGGGGCGTCTGTCTGTGGTGAAGTTTAAGTGTACTTCATGCATGTGCATGTGCATATACTATACTCCCAAAAGACAGATAGAAAGCCCAGCACATACATATTGTCCTGTGAGACATGCAGCAGCTATCCAAGTATGCAGTGCAGAAAGGATTAGAGGATGCAGCCAGTTCCTCGAGGTATATGTAACCATGAAAGTGTTGTCGTGTGAAAGCCGTCTGACAGAATATTTAAACCCATATTATGGTGAGCTCACCCACACAATAACCAACTTTTCCTTTTATTTTCCCATTCATGCTGTGGTTTTAACACCTTAAACATCACATTTCTTCTGCACGGCTCCCAGGAACATTTGTCATGCTCCCCGCTGCTAAAATCGAATCTTTCAGCGGGGAAGGTATATTTACGCTAACTATATTTACACTGAGTAAAATAAGAACGTAGGCTTGACAATGGCTGGGATTCCAGTATTAAAGACTGGACTGACACAGGTGAGGTACAGGTGACCCTTGAAAACAAGAAATCCTTGGTTACAGCGACCAAGCATGTCAATATTAAAGTGATTCATCTGCTAATTAGTATACTTTACTATACAAAAGCAAAGAAACTTACCAGTGCCGTTTTTTCAGTCACTAAATACACTAAATATGTTAAGGTTTGATAAAGCCGAGTGTAAATTTATAACATAAAGTCACATAACACCTGTTTTAGTACCTATGAGATGCTATAACAACTCAGTAATGTGTTATTAATCATCATTCTCATTATTATTGAATTTGTGTTGGGGTTTAAAAGACAACTCTTACACACTGTAAAATATACAAAGCTATAGCTGCCAATTCAAGTGCACAACAGCCTCAGTGTAATTCAAACTGGGGTTTCGATAAACTGAGAAATTCTTTCAGTTGATTATCTGGAAATGCAAAAATAATTTTGTTTAGACTTGATACTTTTTGTGATTTTTAATTTCTTCCTTAGGAATTCATAACAACATCTCTGCAAGTGTTTGCATGTGTATTTCTTGGCTAAAGTCCAGGCAGGATGTGATACATTTTGTTTCCATCAAAAACACTGTGGCTTGTGCAAACAGAGAGGAATCCAAGCCAAACTTCATCAGAACAAGAAAGGCGCCACAGTTAATTCCAGATGACTGTATTTCCAGCTAAATTCAGGAACGCTCAACTATTTCAGCATATCATTGCTCAGAGATTACTGACCTTTGTTGTGCGCCTCCAGTTGTGACAAGGAATTCACAGCCACCTTGCACAGTGCGCAGTACAACAGCTTCTTGGCCTTGTCCTCCTCAGTCTCTGGGTTGGATGGGCTGTTTGAAGCCGAAATGCCAACGGCTCCTGAAACCGGGGTTCCTGATCCAACCTGCTCTGAGTTGGTGAGGCTGCTCCCGCAGCCTGGGGAAGAAGAGGTCGGGGGGACCAGTGGAGGAGTAGGGGTGGGAATGAGAGGGCACACTGATGGCACAGGGGAGTCCATGGGTGGGGTAGGTGGGGTTTGAAGAGGTGGAAGGGGCCCCGGTGCCAGTAAGGGTCCATTTATCCGTGACATAGGCCGTGTTTCATCTAAAAAAAAAACAAAAAAACAAAAACAAAACAGACAAACAAAGGAAATTATAATGAAAGTCACATCCATCCATCCATTGTCTTCTGCTAATCCTTACCATAGCTGGAGCCTACCCCAGCTTGAAAGCAACATATTAAATGTAAAACTAAATAACTAAATAAAGATGATTACGAAGAACAAAAAGTTCACAAGTCAAACAGCAATAAAAAACATGTGTAACCACATCCCCACCCCTCCCAATTGTATATGGAAGCCAAAGTCTGCCCCATAGATCAGAACAACCAACACAAAGCACATTTAGAAGTGCTTTTTATTTCCTATACTGCAACCCATAATTGGTCAAAAGAGTTCCTTTTAATTTGAGTTACACATAAAGTAGATCAGAGGAGGAAACCATATGACCCAAATATAAGAACGGATGGGCAAGCGTTTAATGTTTCCAAGCTTTTTGAAGTTTTCAAGTCAATTTGTCAGTGCTGTGGGCTCATCTTATTGAAATGTTTCCAAGGAAGCAGATAATTGAACCTGAGCATGTTTTGACTTTTCCCCTCTGTCCCACCCCCGTTATTTTTGGCTGGGATAGAAGTAATAATGGCATTTGCTTTGTCAACGAGCAATACATGCAATCCAAAGCAATCCTTACCCCCTGACCTCAGAAATATTAGTTCATTCCCTCTTTTTAAGTCCACCCTCAAAACTCATTTGTTTAAAATTGCTTATGTTTAAACCTCTGTATGCTCTTAACTTTTATCTTTTTTTTCTTATTATTGTGTATATTTCCAGTTTTTGTGTTTTTATCTGTTGTACAGTGTCCTTGGGTGCTTTGAAAGGCGCTATTTTTAAATAAAATGTATTATTATTATTATTCAAATATCTTTAAGTGAGCGCTCCTCTCACCTTTTCTTTTCCATGCCCTCTGATTTTCTTTCTAAAGCTTCCTCACTGCATATGTTCATGCTTACATTTTCTGTATTTATCGCACAACATGTTTATATACAGTATACGTTTCGGACTAGCCACCCACATACCTTTGAGCTTTCGGCATTCACTAAGCACTCAGTGTTAGCTGAAGAAAGATATCTTAAATTTGGATGGAGTATTCAGAGCTACCCTCATTAGCAGGGTCTATAAGGTCTTTCTCCAAACTCCACAGGATACAGCATCAAAACCAGGTCTCTATGGATTAGGGTACTAAAGGGATGATATATGATATTTTCTGGGAAGAAAACAAAAATTCCCTCTAATTGCTTAACTTCCTTTTATAGATTCTATCATGCGTTCACAGAGCATGGGATTTTTTCACATGACAGAGACCATGATATGTTTATCTATTGTTCCACTTTTAGTCTTATGACTTTATATCGTTTGGTATATTCTGGCCTGGCTACCACATTGCATCATCTCTCATGAAGATGCCATTGTAAGTGCTTTCCATTCCACTACTTTCCAAGATTAGAATTCCCTCTCTTTCCAGATTGGAAGTTTCCAGCTGCAGAGCTGCTGGCTGCACAGAGCATTTCACAAACAGATGTTCCGTTAAAAAGAAGAAAAAAAGGACTATCTCTAGCTCTATGTGGCATTGACGATCCCATAAAGCAGTCCTGGATCAAAGTGCTGTTTGAGGTTTATGACTCATAATATGCCCACTTTTTCACAGCGCTGACTGAACATGTTAAGCCGAGTAAAGGGCTTGTACCTGTAAGTGCAAAAAGGCAGCATAACAGAAAAAGTAGTTATCTGCACTGGTATGAGCCTTATGCACACTTCGGCACGTGTCTGTGCCTTTTTCACGGTGCAAAGAAATGTTAAGGAACAAACCCCAAATCCACATTTATAACATTTGGTTTTGGTTACAATCAAGTGGGAATGGTGTTGGCTGGCCAAATAGTAATGAGGGACTTCATGATCCATGATGGCCTGGAGTTCTGCCACACCAAACCAACATCCAGTCACTATTGCACCTTATACAGCACTACAGTAAATGTGTCAAGTTCAGCTCAAGGCTAACCCTTTTAGGCTTCCAGGCCAAAACAATTCACAATCCACCGAAAATCATATTTCATTATATTAAATATTTTTCATTTTTACTCATTTTTACTGACTAAAATTTAAATCATGAAACATCCTCTCAGGGTAGCAATACAAAGCGCTATTTTTTCTTACCCCAAGATTCCCACTGTCAGTTACTCCATTGTTTAAGAGTACAGGATACTCTCTAATGAGACTTGGCTCTCTATTGGCTAACTGACCATTCTCTCTGCTAGCTGACCTCAAATTACAACAGAAGACAGTATTATTCATGGGGAGAGGTCAACTGGAGGATAACTCAACCCAGATGCTTCACACTATGGCCTGCTATGCCTGTATTGCCTTGATCCACTTCAGGAAATTAAAGCTAGTATGGTATGCTGTCCATGTGGAAAAGTTTTGTTGTTTAAGCTGCAGGATTTAATACAGTGTTTTCTTCAATCCATATCCTTAATCCCTATTCCTGAAGTGTGAACGTTTATTTTGTCTGATATAATATTATTTGATACAGCATGATGTTTACACATGATATATAAAGCACACAAACTGCATGCATGTGGCTGCAGCTTGGGAGGTAGTGCAGGTCACCTACTAATCAGAGGGTTGGTGGTCTGTGGTTCGAGCCCTGGCGCAGTCTCCAGACTGTATCTTTGGGCAAGAAACTAACCCATATGAATATGTGTTAATGATAGATAGCACTTGCATAGGAAAAGCAGAGGGGAAAGTGCTTGTTTAAATGGGTGTGAATGGCTGTAAAAAAGTGTTTGACTTCTTGCTTAGAGTGGAAAAGCGCTATATAAAAACCAGTCTATTTACTGAAACAAGAGAGTTATTGTTGGTATGATTCTGTTGTGTGTAGGTGGAAAATTACACAGGGATACTTTTGCTTTGTTTACTTTAAATGCCAAAAGAAACTAATGTGATATAATCCCCACCCTCCACCCTCATGGATCCAATGTTCCCCCACCCCCATAAAAAGATGCTTGCAGAGTTATAAGTCATCATCTTACTTGTCAGGCAAAACTGCCAGGAGTTTTACTGCAGGACTAGTGTACTGACTTTAAGTGTGAGCGGTTTGTCTCTTTGTGTGTGTTATATGTGTGCCATGATTAGGCGGGATGACTCTGAGTGTCACCACTGCCCCCATCATGCCCATTCTCAATGATTAACGAGCTACGAAACTCAACGCTGGCCTTACAAGAGTTGAGCCACATTCATAATGCATTTGGGTGCCTTTTCCCTGTCTGGCCTGCATCCGAACCCTGAGTCATACACACACAGACACACACACACACATAAACACACCCACACAGTCATCCCATATCAGGTACTGTTATTTCAGGCAGTTTCATCAAATAATTCACAAAGGAGGTAAAAAGCTTGTGAATTCCCAGATTTCCTCAATTAGACTCAAATGCTAACAATAAACAGACAGATGGAGCAAACATTAGCTCAGTGTAACTCAATACTACAGTCACCTCATAGCCATGCAATTTGAACCCTCACATGAAAGTCATCTGTTTAATTGACCTTGGGTGTGTGCGTCTGTGGATGTTTGTGTGGACCAAAGAGTGCTATAATATCAGGGTGGTTTTAACAGAGCCCCTCATTAGGATGGGAGTGTCAGACGGCAGAGGGAGAAAGAGGAAAGGAAGGAAGGAGGGAGGGAAGACCAGAGTTTCTCTCCAGTACAACAGCTGGCTCGCCATCACTCGCAGGCTCAGCCAAACCTCAGCTCACCAGTCCAAATTTCTCAGAGCCAAGTGCCTCCTTTTTTGGGGACAATGCTAACCACAAATCCTTTGACTGGTGTAAAACTCAAGACCTGCTCTGAAAATCTGTAAATATTGGATAACCTATCACTGTTTCGGCCCTCAGCCAGTTTGAATATGTACTCTGTTTTTGATATGTTAATCCCAAATTATGGTGAATTCTTTTTCACAAACGATATATCTGATAGTAGCCCAGACTATCTGAATGTCTAAGATGACATTGATATTGCATGAAATTTGAGAGCAACAAAGAGTCTGTTGATAAGAAATGTTGCTCAGCATCAAAGACAAATACTGCTCTATGTTATGAGGTGAATTCCACCAAAACTCCACAGCCCAAAAAAAATGTCTGTTCCCCAGACAGTAGTTTCCCAGTTTTTGAAATGGACATCTGGCTCTCCTCCATAGCCCCCCCAACCACTGAGATCACACTCAGGGCATGCATACACGCACATATATACACACAAACAAGCATGCAACAAAATCAGGAAGAGGCAAGGTTCCAAGGTCACAAGAAAGGTCCTTGGTTGGAAAAAGGCATTTTTCACATGTTGCTACTTTCAGAGCTCGATCATTGCAGGCTTGTTTGGTTTCTCATGATCTAGGAGTTCACTGCAGGAAGTGTCACTAATGAGGACTTATCTTAGCTGACCTTAGATCCCCCATGAGGGAAGACAGCACAAAGGACTGGCCTTCATACTTGCCTGAGACTAACTATAAGAAAACCTTAAGTGTTACGTTCATGGACAGAAAGAGACACTGAAATGTGAAAACCTTTGCTTCTTCGCGCTGGCATGCTGCATTGAGGCTTTTTCTGGACCTGAGTTTCATCTTTTAATTTATCGTGTTTGCTCTGTGCCCTCCCATCAATAAGGGGGAAATGTCTGGTAAACAGTAGGCTACAGAAACCTTTGTAAATGTCACCAAAACACGACTGGTCTGTTCATTGGCTGGCGTTTGATCCGAGACCAGAGTGGTGGCACTAAGGGAATGGAAAATGTTTGGTGCACAGAGAAGAATGGCAGACGCGCACAGAACCCAGCCTCTAAATTATACTGTGAAATGCAAAGATGAACCAGAGGGATAAAGGAAAGACTAAGACAACGGGAACAAAGTTAAAGATCCTTTGCTAAAGGAAGATCTTGCACTGCTTTGATCACGCCTTGCATCATATTAACTAATAAATTAATCTGCTTACAGTTAATTACTTTTCATTAAAGTCAGATCAGCTGCTGTTTCTGTCCTTTTAAAGGCTAGATGAGATTTCCGTTTATTCATTTGTCTTAATCAGTCTTACTGACAAGTGGATGGTCAGGCAACGTAGCCTATGTTGAATGTGGTATACATGGTGTGGTACCTCCCAGTAGCTTACTACTGTACAAACTGCCATGTTGCCATACCATGTTCTCCTGCTCATAGACTAAACGGATTGACACAAACCAGATTTAGATTGAACAACTAAATAAAGTCTTGCTGTTTATCTTGACTAATACAGAAGATTAACTCTGGCATGGTAATGATGATTCGATCAGCCTTTCATGTCATGTTTGATTTCAGTGTAAGAGGTCTACTTCTGCTACACCGTACTGTGACTGAAAGTGATTTTTTTAAATGACCAAAGGTTTTGAAGCATAGTTGGGAAAAGCCAAAATAGTCTGGATGTCAGTGGAAAAAAGAAAATTCATACAAACTTTGTGGCATATTGTAATTGTTTTGAATGGGAAATAGACTCCTGAATATCCTCTTGTCTGAAAAAACTAATCCATTATGAAAGAGTCTGGCCAATCAAATTCAGACCTGATCAGGTGATGAAAAGCAGAGCTTGAATCCCACATGAAGCCAAAAGTCTGTCTTTTATCAGACTGGACATACTTTTATTAGGCGGGGTATTGGGAAAGAGAGTGGAGAGCTGCAGGAGGAGGGCAGTCTATTTTCAAATTTTGTTGGGGTTGTTTTCCTTTTGTATAATTCTGCCTACTTGAGCTTGAAGGCTCAATTAGGTTTAATAATATATGTTTTTGTGACTAGGCAGTAAAGGCAATCTGAACTTATCCGGTTGTTCAGTCTGAAGTCACTAGCCGTGTCTGGGCCTAAACTCCGCTGCAGGTCCATATATCAAACGATCACTATGGCATTACTGAGAGTTGAAAAACTGTCTAAAATCTTTAATCTTTAATAAAATGATCAGCGTTCTGCTCTACCAGGTGTAACAATTGAGTTTAACATCCAGGCATCCATGAAAACGGAATTTATGACATTTAACGGAGTTAGAAGTTAGCAGGAAGTTAGCTCGCTAGCTTCTATCTAAATACAATATAGCATGTCCTGACTGCGGGGTTTTGGAAACAAATTAAAACGTACAGCTCTGTTATCACTTCCAGCATAAATGAAGACAGAAAACTAAACAGCAGTGACGTTTGTAGGGTTACTGAAGTTTGGCTAGCTGGTATATAATGATGTGCTACGTGACCGCTAGCGACACAGCTAAGTTAGCATAATATAAACAAGCTACCTTTTTTTCCACTCGATAAAAGTTAACGTGAGTGTTCTCGGTGGTCAGGAACAAATGTAATCGCATGGCAGGATGCTGTAAAAGGACCAAACTTCAGCCAGGAGAACAACTGAGATAATCCATCCACAATACGAGGTTAGTCATTCATATACTGCTGCATGGGCTGGGCTGTAGTTACATCCAAAGGTTTTAAAAACTGAGCTTAAATAAATGATTAGCGGTAATAAAAGCCGAGGGAGGTCAACAGTGATCACTGACTGTTTTAGGAGCTTTTTGAGATTAAATAGAGGAAAATACATAATATTAAACATGTTACCAACACAAAAGCCATATTAAACGCAGACTACTTTAGGCCCGGAAGTAGGATTCGTCACGTCATCACTTAACGACTGGATTGCTTCAGCTATTTCCAACTCCTATAGGTCAAAGCAACTTTCCCGATATTCTGAATTTCAACATTTTCATTTGAACTCTCATTACAATTATACTTAAAAGACTCCCACGGCACTGGCAACTAAAAAATGTGTTCAGCTATTAATCTTCCAAATTAAATGTTTATTTTTTAGATTTTAGGTGGGACAGTCATTATCAGTCTCAGCAGTCTGTGGAACCGCACTGTCTACTATAAGATGTGCTGCGGCTAAATCCGATGACAAATAGAGACGAGATGCTCATAAAAACTGCAGAGCTACTGTGATTAGACGCTTTTGTTATTCTTGCATATTTTCCCATTCATTTTCTGACAAAGACCATAAGCTGCCGAACATCCTGCGTGGACTGAAATGATTATTTCAACAAGGTTCTCCCGAGCCTTTTCCCAGTTTTTGCTTGTGGCAGTAGTTTTCTGTTCTCTCACCTGCTTTGCTGGGCTCACTGTCTGGGGCTGTGCCAGGAGCTCCAGGCGGAGATGGGGAGGAGGTGGGGGGCAGGGTGTGAGGTTTGTCTCCTTCTTGAGGACGACTCTTAGAGGTCTCGATGCCTTTGACTCTCCTGGCATGGCGGTTCCCTTTGTAGTGGGCTTCTGCCTGGCTCTAAAGGAGAGCATGGAAAAGAAAACAAGTTATTTCATTAGTGAACACCGATGCCAAGATGCCCAGGTATATAACAGGGTGGAATTAGACTCGGTGTGGCACCTGGCATGCATGCATGCCATTATGACAGCACGATATTTAATATACTCTGGGGACTAAAGTCACGATGAGCAGCAGGCAGTGAGCAGAGAGATAGATTACATGCGAGATATTAAGAGAGATACAATGATGAAGTGACTGCCTGCCCTCCTTGTCCCCTTATTTGAATTAAGAACAAATTATGAAGGTGTGTGTTGAAACATTAACAGTATAGATTATGTGGAGGATTGGCACTTGGCTGAAGTTGCCATGCCTGCTAACCTAAGGATCAGGAAACTGCCATTTAAGCACGGAGGGCTCATTAGTCCATTTCTAAGCCTTCCCTTTCTCATGCACAGTCTTGGAGAATATACATCATCTACCTACTACATGGCATCAATGTTGTTGTCTTTAATATCTGGCAGGAAATATAAAATAAGGATCCGCACGCTCAGCCGGCATTCCAGCAAAGACAAAAAATGCTGCAGAGATTTATTATGGAAGTCACTGTGTCCAATCTCCCGATGACATGCTCTCTACTGCCTAATGTGTTTGCTCACTGAGTAAACAAGCGAGTTATTTGTGAAGAGAATATGGGACGTTATGGGAGTCGGTTTCTAGCCTCTGTGTTGCTGCACAGATGTTTGGAAGTCGGGTAAAATGCGGCGTATGTGATGCGGGGTTGCTATACATAGCTGTCTGGCTTCGCAGTATGGTGACTATAAAACAGAAACACATGTCATTTCACTGGCTCACTGACTCCCTCTCACACACGCGCACTCACACAAATATAGGATTATGGCCCTTTTTCATCACCCCTCTCTCACAGTATGTGTCCAACTATGAAAAAATAAGTAGCTACTTGCTGATATAGACATATTCAGTCAGGACTGCACTTGTAAGTCAAGTGAACTGATGTGCCATGGCACGTGATTGCATCAAGGGACCAATGGTGAAGATATTTATTAAGTAGCAGGATTACAGTTGGTTTCCAGGGATGAGTCGTTGACAGCTGCCTCAGGAATTTGACTGACACTTAGGACATCGTGCTGACCAGAGGCTCAAGTGTGGCGATAGACTGGCTCGGCAAAACAGGCAGGGGGTGATGAGTAATGTTACCGAACCCTGTTGTCTATATTTGCTTTGTGTGTGTCTGTGTGAGTGTGTGAGTGTATCAAACGAGCTGGCATGGCAAACACTGAGCACTGGCTGAAGCAAGTGAGAAGATCACATGTTTCTTTTAAACCAGGATGACACATCAGGCTGTAACTGTACCCTGTCAAAGGGGTCTTAAGGACCTGCACTCGCAAAGCCTACAGATCAAGGTGGAGAGAGCTGCATGCAGGCAGAAAGGGGTGGAGGTGTAGAGTGCTGAAAGAGAAGTAATCTCTCGTGATGAAGAGGGGAATGTGGGAAGATTAAAAGGTATATGGCAGTGCGTGGCAAAGCGGGCACAGAGGTTTTCTTGACTTCTCCCAGCAAGTCAAAGGGATCAACTACCAAGCAGCTGAGTGTCACTGTGGGGTCCTGGGTGGAGAGGAGGGAGGGAGAATGAAGCACAGGGAACTGAAAGTCAGAGAAGGTAAACGCAAAAAATGGAAAGGATATAAAGAGACACAAATCTCAGAGAGAATAAAAACTGCACCACGCCAGTTTGTGATGCATGTGTTTCATTATGCAGAGAGTTTGAAGTGAACAACTGCTTTCCTACATGATCATCACTCCGAGGGGGGAGTTGTGTTATTAAAGCAGAGCTGCTGCAGAGCTGCATTTCTAAAGGAAGAAATAGGAAGAGAGGGAGAAAAAGAGAAGAGAGACAAAAAAGCAAGCAAGAAGCGAAGTGAACGTGGTTGGAGGAGAAAAGATAAACGTGACGTGAGCAGGGAGGAAGCGGGTGAAAATAAGAGATGCATATCAGCATACTGCAGCAGTTGTGACGCTGGTCAATGCAGCTCCACAGAGCCTGTGATGTCACTAATGCAGCGTGGCATCAAGGTTATTCTGCATTAACCACCATTAAGTTCTTTACACGGACACACACAATGCAGAGACAATGGGGCACAAACTGTCTCCCCCCTTATCCTTTCCTCCTGCCCCTCCCCTTCAAATCTCCTCTCTACCACTTTCCCAAGATGCACTGGGGCTGTCAGAGCCAGACACTAATCCATGCCCTTGACGAATGCATCTTATAATAAGTAGTGGCAGGCAATTTTGGGCATTTCCACACAGTAAATAATGCAGCATGAGAGAGGGAGACAGCCAGCAAGAAGGGGAAAAGGTTCCTTAGAGAGAGAGAGACAGGCAAAAGAAGAGAGAGAGACAGTAGAGAATGATCATATGGGATGAAAGAAATGATGGCAAAATGATGTGGGAAATGAAGTGAACGTGGGTGGGAGACAGGAGGTAAAGCAAGACAAATACAGTAGCCATGACGTTCCATAAAAAGCCCACTCGCTTTCTTCTTTGACCCAAAAATGTTTTCAGCTCACATATGGCAGATAAAGGAAAAGAATGTCTACATCAAGGACAGTGCCCGAGCTTGAAAATGAAGCTGAGAATGCAACATCAGATTCTCCTGAAGTATTTCTCACTGTATTATCTTCATCCATCATAAATTCATTTGAATTTGATTTCACTAGCTGGGCCCACGTCCTTTTAGGTTTGACAGCGTTTTAGTAGGTAAAAGTGAACGCTTTGACATGAATCGAGCTGCGGTTTGGGGAAGGCCTCGAAGGGGACTGGCAATGGCTCCCGGGCCTGGCAGATCCCCATGTACTAAATAGAAATGAAGAAGTTAAAGAATTGAGAACAAGGAGGGAGGAAGGGTGGGGCAGAATTGGAGGAACCTATATAGATGACAACTGGAAGGAGCGTGTTTGGAGGCGTGGTCCTGCTCATGAAATTCCGATGCATAGGCCCTTTCTCAATTCTCAAGAACGCGAGCACGGACTCGCGATTTGTACAATTGGAACACCAGCGTACTTGATGATGTCACAGGTCCGGAGTTTTTACTGCCGTCCCCTCTTAATTTAACTGTGAGTAATATTTTATGAAGCTTAACTTTAATCACAGCCAAACCGGTTTACTCAGGAACAAATAAAAAGCCGAAATAAGCCAAACATTAACATTTAGAAGTGATCTAAGTGACTTTTATATCATGTTTAACCTCAGTAGTGAAATCTCTATTAATAAAAATAGTGTACATGTACA